GAGCTACACTGGTGGTTATTCTGCAACAACCATGTGTAAACGTGAAATTACTTAATATGCCCATAAAAAATGGCCTCAAGACCAGTTGGTTTAAAGTGGCTCAGAAAGTGAAGTTAGTTCTAAAAAAAAAAAAAAATTTTGTATCTTAAAATTAAGACATTTTTAAATATGACTTCAGTGTCCAAAGAGTTTTTACAGTGGGGCCACTGTATATGTGTAATATGAATAATAATAATAAACGATTTATCACAGTCCCAGGATGATGAGGATACTCAGGATACAAATGAGGAGAAGGAAGAATTCAGACCTGGTAAACTTCGTCTCAGTTTTGAAGAGCTGGAAAGACAGAGGCTGGAAGAGGAACATAAGCGAGTGGAGGAAGAAAGGAAAAGACGCATCGAAGAAGAGAGAAAGGCCTTTGCCGAGGCCAGAAAGAGCATGGTCAGTTTGTGTGCTTATGAAACAGCACCATGGTAATATCATGTTTGTTTTTTAATGTGTACTATGGTAACCATGATATTCTTTGACAGCATATATCAGTGTGATGTTCTGATCAGGCCTACGTAATATTTAATAGACATAAACTGCTCACTATTATTACAAAATGTCATAGAAAGCATGTACGAAATGTCTGACTTGAAATATAACGGCTGCAATCTACAATCAGACAGAGATAAGGGATTACTGACTTGGCATAGTCGGACATGTAAGTTGGACGCCAGATCAAACTCTTGACTCCTCTTAACTTATTTTCCCCAAACCTAATATATTTATTTGCAGGTTGTAAATAGTGATGATGACATCCTGCTGGCCATGATAAACTCAGATGGGGCTAAACCCGGGAAGCTGGCCATCAGCTTTGAGGATTTGGAAAGACAGAGACGAGAAGAAGAGCAGAAAAGGAAAGAGGAGGAAGCCAAGCAACGCCTGGAAGAAGAGAAAAGACTTTTCGCAGAAGCTCGCAAGAACATGGTAGGACCATGCATGAGAACTTATTTGCACATGTACAGTGCATTTGCATGCACTAATTTATGATATGAACAAAACAAATCAACAATAAAAATCCATTAATGGGCTTATATTCAACATTCTATTCAGGAAACTGTTCTGCTTATTAATAATATAACATAAACATACATTATGCTGCATGTTTATTGTAATGCAATCTGCTCATTATATTTATATCATCTGAGCACATGTTGTCTCTCAGCTAACAACTGTTAACCGGTGTCAATTTCAATACATCAACTTACTTATGGTCTCTGATTCAATCTAAAACAATAAATTCAGATGCAAATGTGAACACGTCCAAATCTCCAGTGTGCTCAAATGGTATACCTGCTGCAATGCTTGTCTGCTATGCTTTTCAAATTGTGTTTTTAAGAGCCCTGGATTGGATCAGGATAATTTGACTGGATATGGAGATAAAGAAGTAAGAAACATTTTTAAAAAGAAACGGCTATTCTGCTAATGTGAAGAATTGCCACAATGATTAATTATACAAAAAAAAAGAGGCTTAAAACAAGTCAAAATATTTAGTGGAACTAGACAAAATACACATATATTGAGGATACTATACATTCTTAGAAAACAGGTCTTAAAGAGGAAGTATCATACATATTAATTCCAGTTTAGGTAATATTTCCCACTAAGTTCCACTTGTGCTAGGGATAATGTTATTGTATGTTTTTATAGCACAATAAACTGTTTTTATAACTAAAAAGGTCAAAGAAAATTGTATTCCTTGTGATATGACCTTTTTAAATATCTTGCATATTTTTGCTTCTCAAGCAAATGTGTCTTGTTTAAAGAATATTTTGATCTTTTTCTTGTAAATAAAACAAGATACCAATGCACTGTATAATCCTTTGTAGTGTAGAAAATTTTAATATTCTGTTTTGAGTATTAGTACAGAACAGAATTAGGGGTCCAGACCTTCAGTTGAGCCCATGTTATGAGTTTTTGATTTTCACAGTAACAAGTCAAAAACTGTGATTATTGTATATAATTCTGCATTTTGTACTATACTTATTACAATTCAACTTTCTGTGGAATGTGGATCAAATTCAAATTCAAATTCCAACTTATGAACTGAAGTCAATTCTTCAGTACTGAATTGTAAAGTAATATAATTATATACATTTTATATACCTAGCATTTAGAAATATATTCATTATGTTTGATTACCTGTTAACTTATTTTGATAATAAATCAGCATGCTTAGTTATTATCAGTCAAACATAAGAAAAAGGATAACAGAAGGTAACTCTCGTTGCCTGCACAAGATGTATAATACATATGTTCATATGCAATTAAATATCAGTCGCTTATGAGATGTTTGTCCCGTTCTTGTGACAGGTGCAGGATGATGATGAAACTCTGGTGAGGACAGAGTCACAGGAAGCAATCCACCCAGGGAAACTAGAAATCAACTTTGAGGAGATGCTGAAAATGAAAGAGGAGGCAGAGCGGAAACGCAAGGAGGAGGCCAGACGCCAGAAAATGGAGATGGAGAAGAAAGAGTTTGAACAGTTGCGACAAGAGATGGGCGAGGTCAGCTTCATGTGCCAATAAAATGATCATTACACTTACAATTTCAATACGCTTCAATTATTTACATTGTTTTGTGGGTTTGATTCAGGATGAGATCAATGAAAGCTCTGAGGTGGTGAGCACAGAGTACGAAGAACTAACAAAGCTGAAGCGAACTGGCTCCATCCAGGCCAAAAGCCTGAAATCTAAGTTTGAGAAGATCAAGCAGCTCACAGAGGAGGAGATCCAGAAGAAGATCGAGGAGGAACGAGCAAGAAGGAAAGAAATTGATGAGAAAATCAAGGAGAGAGAGACAGAGCGCTGTCAGGAGGTAAAAGAACGAGGGAATTTCACACATTTTCATTCCCGCTAAAGAGCACTGAAATGAGGAATTTTGCTCATTTCATTCACAGGATGAAGATGAGGATAAAACAACTCCAGCTAAAGCAGAGGACGTCCCGTTCAGACAGAAAGTGGACATGCGTGCGCGATTTGAACAAATGGCCAAGGCCAGAGAAGAAGAGCAAAAGAGAAAGATCGAAGAGCAGAAATTACAAAGGATGCAATTTGAACAACAGGAAATTGACGCTGCTCTTCAAAAAGTAAACCTCTCCTGGGCTGCTTTGTTTAAGAGCTAAATGGTGGACCGACCTCAACACTAATGCATGGCAGAGCTGCATGCATGTGATTTCTGTTGCTTTGCTGTTTTTTCCGAGTGTGAACACTTTGTCATGTGTCTTGTCAGAAAAGGGAAGAAGAGGAGGAGGAAGAGGGTAGCATCATTAACGGCTCCACCGCCTACGAGGATGAAGAGGACCACGCCAGGTCGGGCGCTCCATGGTTTAAAAAGCCCCTTAAGAACCAGTCGGTGGTCGACGCAGAGCCTGTGCGGTTCACAGTGAAGATCACAGGAGAACCCAAACCAGAGGTCACCTGGTGGTTTGAAGGTGAGCTGCTGCCGGACTCTGAAGACTACCAGTACATTGAGAGAGGGGAGACCTACTGCTTGTACTTGCCGGAAACGTTCCCCGAGGACGAAGGAGAGTACATGTGTAAAGCCGTCAACAGCCGAGGAACTGCCGCCAGCACCTGCATTCTCACCATTGAAAGTAAGCTGCCCTCCGTCTCCACTAACCACCTGCATGCTGAGATTTCTTATGCCGTCTCTAACCTCGAACGGATCGCACGCTCCGCTTCCACTCGGTTCTACTTCTTCTTGTTCATCTGTGTCTCTCTGTCTCCTTGTCTTTCTCTTACCAGCTGAGGACTACTGATGCTCTCCTTCTCTGGAACTTTCCCAGACTTTTATTTTTTCTTTTATAAAAGTTAATTTCTGAAGGTAGGGCCAAAAACCGGCCCTTTTTTTGCCATTCCTCCTGAAGATATGCTCAATGATGAAGTGCAATCTGTTGTTTACATTAGATGCTGCACTCACGGTTAACAAAACAACAACAACAAAAAATCCATATTTGGGATGAATTTGTGCCAAAAACACAGATACTGTTCCCATGATCTTCTAGCATAAATACATAGCATAGCTGAAAAAGAAATACAGTTGATTAAATACAGTTGAGTATGTTCAAAATGCAGCCACCATGTCACTGAGGAAGGATTTCATACCCATGTAATTGAATGAATGAGACTTTACTTGAGATTTGATTCAGTATCTGTAAAGGGGCTGTGGTTGCATTTTCTTTGTTAACCTCTGTTCAGACTCAGATGTTTTTTTCCCCCCACATTTTGATCCGAGTATTTAAAGTTTTGAATAAAATTTACACATGGAGCTTTCATAACCCCAGATGTTTCTATGTTAAAGTGTAGTGAGTAAATTAAATGTATGGACAGTGTATGTAGGTTAGCAAAAGGTGATTTTAGGTTTTAGGCAGAATATTTGTGTAATGTACAAAATTATAATAAAATTCATGAAACTGAAGTGATGTTGTCTGTTTTATGAACTAACAACTTTATTTATGATACTTTTCTTTGAAACAAAGTCATTAGTCAGAGACGAGGCCTGACGGATTCATCTGATTACTGTTTCAAATTGATTGTCTGTAAATATGCTATTTTTTAGTTATTACATAATGCAAATTGGTTTGAAAGCCTTCCTAATTTGAATGTACGTATAATGAAAATGTATTAAAATTCAACAAAAAAAACAACCGTTATTTTTAACTAGAAAAACAAATGTTTCTCAAGACATGTTAGCTTGACAAAAACATAAAAAAATACATATATCAAGTCTTTTAAAAGCGTGAAGGCTCCAAATGTCAGAACAGACAAAACATAAATAAAAATAGAAAAGCTCTGTTTTAAGTGCCAACAACTCTCCAACCAGAATACTACAAAATGGTATTTTGTACTCACTTTTGCCAAAACTATTTTCTTCTTTGCAAACTGTAACAGTAATACATGTTGCATCCGTAGGGAGGCGCAGCTGTGTCATTAATCCACGCACTATCAACGATGGTCTGCTGGTAACTATAGCAACAAGGCAAAACGCTAGACCGCTAGTTAGCAAGCCTCTGCACTTATCCTTACCTCATTTATCCCCCAGTCAGTTCATAAAACAATAAAATACCATGCTGAAAATGCAGTAACGGCGTGTAGATGAAAATATGACTTATGCCGACCGACAGTATTCGATGTGTGTGAAGTTTGTTTACGTCGAACTAGCCAACTTGCTATCTTGTTCCCATATTTACCGCTGTGTTATTGTGATCCATGATGGGCAAAGATGTTGAGGAAGTCTCCGCGTCTCTAGTACGGGAATATCTCAGTCGAAAGGTAGGTGACAGATCAGTTTCATTCATTTTATTCTATTTGGAAGACTTGTAAACATGGTACACATGCTAACGTTCCTGTACCACTCAAAGCAGCATTGTATGTGATCTTTAAACATATTTACTTAGTATGATATACATATTGTGTGTATTAAAGGTAGAGTTCTTCTGTAAATTTGTTTGTTCTCTGAGAGATTGCTCTGGTTGGATGATGAAATGTACTTGCAGGGCCTGAAGAAAACCATAGCTTGTATGGACGAAGAGCTTCCACGAACTAATTCAAGCATTAATAACAGATCAGATCTGCGCAGAATACTTCACCTTGAGGGCCTTTACAAAAAGAATAAGGTATCAAAGTGATCAACATCTGTACTTAAAATATCATGAATGTTGAAAAAGCAGAGAGTTCATAAAATGCATTTGTGTTTAGACTGAAGAACATCCCTTGAAGTCAATGTTGGAGATGATTGTGAAGAACAGAATGAGTGAAGGTGCAAGGCTCGAAATTGCGACCATTTTGGTCGCATATGCTCCCGAAATTGAATCTGTGCGATGGCAAAACCAAAGCACGCCGACATGGTGACAATCAAACCACATCAAGTTCCTCCATAGACACGACTGGGAATGTTAAGAGAGAGGAAGATTGTATGGAAAATATGTTGTGTGACAGTCCAAGGTATTTATTTATTTTACAACAATCCAGTGTGTTCATTTGTTTGAGACTTTCAAGATCTGTTGACAGCAATAAACATTCACCTTTTAAGCAGGTTATCTGAAAGCAGTGTGTCACAAGTTATTGTGCCTTCCCAAACGCCTTCTGAAAAGCTTCACAAGAGCTTTGCTCTTCACCCTGAAAGTGAGAGAAGTATGTACTGTTTATCGTCTAGCCAGGATAGTCTCTTAACAGTATCGAAAGAAGGATTTCCCTCTGAGAAAAAGGTCGTAGACACTGACAGCCAGAAGAACAGAAGTAGCAGGATAAGACGGGGCATTATGTCAGGTCCCATTGCCAGCTCCTCGCAGGTGATGAATGTTGATTAATTAAGTTAATATTAATTTGTTTAAAAAGCTATTTGTTTAATTTATTCTACATTATTCCTCCTTAACAGCATTGCATTGCTTAATTTTCTTTAGGAAAGTAACAGGAGGCGTCCAGCTCGAAAAGCAACGCCATCTGTTATAGCAACACTGGAGGACTGTAAAGAAGCAGCATACTGGACAAATGGTGTCAATACTACAAATACAAAGTCTATCCCATTAGCCCCTCTTGAGAGCAGCATGTTTTCTAATTTACATACAGGAATCATAGACCGTAGTGGACATGAGAGGACGTCAGATGTCAAACATCGCTTGTAAGTTTGTTTGAATATGCCCAATACTTAACCTGTGTCTGAGAAACCTACTCTACATATTTTACGTAAACCTTCATTTGAAAAATAGATTTGAAAAATGTCAAAAGCTTTTTATTTTTGAGGCATTAAAGTAGTTATATCAGTTCAAACTCTAGAGGTGAAAGGTGGGAATGATTCTAGGGGCCCATAGGTCCAGGGACACACACAAAAGTTTCTGAATTGTATATTTAAAAAGATAAGGGGCCAAAAACAGTTTACAATTAAGGGCCCCAGAATTTCTATCCACAACCTTGAATGTAGGCATGAAATCCCTTATACGTAAAACAGTATGGCTCTAAGACTATGAAATTTGGGATGGTAAAAGAGGCTGTTGGTATTAATTCTCAACTGCAGTATGTCAAGTGTGTGATTATTAACTTTTATTGTTTCCTCTCCAGAAACAATTCGGCACCCAGCCAAAAACTGGATGAACTCCATGTGTTGGAAATGGTTTTGGGTAGTGCACCTCAAATCTTCAACAGATTACATTTTGTATCATAGCCAATACACTAGCAGCTGTTGTATTGCTTTAAAATAAATGAAGTGCATTTTGAAATCAGTGCAACTAAAATATGCTTTAAAACAATCTGTTATTCAAAATTGTATAGTTTTGAGACGCCTCTCATTCTTTTTTTTAAAATTATTATTATTTTACAGATGACATAGAGAATGAGGAGAGCCTGTGTGATGTTTCTAGAACAACCATGCCAGAACTTAGTTTGGACAAGACTCCCATGGACCAGATGACTGCCACTGTAAGTGTATTATCATTTTAAAATATGAAGAGAGCCACAGTCGCAATGTAAGTGTCACACATTTAGAATTGTCACTTCTAATTACAAACCCATTGTTCATTTCTCAACCGTAAAGAACCTGCCCCCACAGAAACACAGGAAGAAGTCTGTTCACCCCGATTGGACGCTACAAATCAGATGGTGTTCTAGAAATGGTAAGGTCATTTTTTGACCATTAAATTGCCTTCTAATTGCTTAATCTTTTTATGACTACATATTTATTTTTTCATATTCCGCATAGATAATGTACGTCACTGTGGAGACCTTAGATGATCTCACTTTAGTTCTTGAGCAGCATGTTAGACAGGTAAGTCTGCACTTAAATGCCTCATGATGACACATCCCATATACTTGATTTCTAATACTTGTAGAATATATATTTTCAAAAAGGTATGAAAAAATACATTTTAGGATTCATTATGTACAATATTGTTAAATATTTATTTGTTTTATATATACGTGTTAGTATTATTGTTTATAATATTATTTATATTTATAATGTTTAAATGTGTAAACAAGATTTGTATTTGAGCACATCCAGTGATAGTTTTGAAGCATTTGAAGTCATATATCACCTGTTTAATAGCTCTTAATGTGATTGATGGCAATTAGTAGCAGTTTTCTTTCTTCCTTTTAGTTTGAGTCTGGTCCCTTTGGCTGTATTTTGCTTACCGTCTCTGCCATTCTTTCCAGAACTATTGCAATGTGAGTTTCCACCTCTTTAACTCAGTGCAGACTGTTTACGTTCATATATTCACAGAGCGAGCCGATGTTGTTTTTTGTGATTTAGTATACAAAGTGATATGGATGTGTCAACTTCCACCCTCATCGGAGCTCACGGCTACTGCACACAGGTTTGCCATATTAACACTTTACAGTCCTTATCCTGAAACACATATGCAAGCATTTGATTTTTCTCTTTTTGGACACAGTGTTGTTTGATTTTTGTTGTACAGCTCCAGTGTGTACAGTGCTCTGATATGATCAAGTCATTAAGTCTTATATTTTCCCTTTCATTTTTCTTAAGGAATTGGTCAATCTTTTGCTTTGTGGACGGGCAGTTTCAAACGTCTTTGATGATGAAATGAAGCTTGATTCCAGAAATGGAAATTTTACATTTCTGAAGGGAATTAAAGCACGTTGTAATATTGGGCTGCTGTCTTTATTTGAGCACTATAATATATGTAAGGTAATAAGGCTTCAAACACTCTTAACGTATACTTGGATATTATATCCAAATTTCTTATATCTAGATTCCTCTCTTTTTAATGTGATGTTTCTAGAACAACCATGCCAGAACTTAGTTTGGACAAGACTCCCATGGACCAGATGACTGCCACTGTAAGTGTATTATCATTTTAACTTCCTCAAACCATTATCTGTGATTTCAGGCCAGTCTGATATGATATCTGTGCTCTCATGTCTAACTCAGGCTCTGAAGGAGATCATCTTTGGTTCTTCTATGGCTTGTTTCACTGAGGAGTGGAAACAACAGAATTTTACCTTTTCAGATACTCCCGGTTTGAAGTATGGGATTGTACAAAAGAAGGTACAGTATTCCAGACAACCTCAAGATTTACTGTAGTTTTGGTGTGTAAACATTTGCGTTATGAGATCTTCTGGGGTTGTTTCATCAGGGAGGACCGTGTGGAGTCCTTGCAGCAGTTCAAGCTTGTGTTCTACAGAAGCTTCTGTTTGAAGAATCGAGTAATGACTCATTGAAGGAGTGCGTATGAACATTAGTCATATTTTTGCTCATTTTTCTGTTGAAAGATTAGATATTAATTTTTATTATCACGATAATATAATTTTCATAGCTCTTATTGATCTCCGATATATTTGCATTTTTATACAAAATATTGTCTCAATTTTTTTTAAATGTCACCAGGAGATTGGAGGTATCAAATGTTTTAAGGACAAAATGTCTGTCTCTGGCTTTGGCTGACATGCTATGGAGAGCGGGAAATATGAAGAGAGCCACAGTCGCAATGTAAGTGTCACACATTTAGAATTGTCACTTCTAATTACAAACCCATTGTTCATTTCTCAACCGTAAAGAACCTGCCCCCACAGAAACACAGGAAGAAGTCTGTTCACCCCGATTGGACGCTACAAATCAGATGGTGTTCTAGAAATGGTAAGGTCATTTTTTGACCATTAAATTGCCTTCTAATTGCTTAATCTTTTTATGACTACATATTTATTTTTTCATATTCCGCATAGATAATGTACGTCACTGTGGAGACCTTAGATGATCTCACTTTAGTTCTTGAGCAGCATGTTAGACAGGTAAGTCTGCACTTAAATGCCTCATGATGACACATCCCATATACTTGATTTCTAATACTTGTAGAATATATATTTTCAAAAAGGTATGAAAAAATACATTTTAGGATTCATTATGTACAATATTGTTAAATATTTATTTGTTTTATATATACGTGTTAGTATTATTGTTTATAATATTATTTATATTTATAATGTTTAAATGTGTAAACAAGATTTGTATTTGAGCACATCCAGTGATAGT